ATTTGTTACAGATTCTTGCTAGATGGGAAGAAAAGCTTATCAGGTTTTGAAACGCTTTTTAGGTTGTAGCGAAGGCTTTAAATCAGAAAAGACATGGTAGTCCGACATCTTCTTTTATGTTCATGTTAATATTGATGAACGGGACGGATATGCATAGTTTTAGTGAGTTAATCTTTTTTCGTTGATTTTTTCTGCTCATTATATAATCATCCGAAATTAAAAGTTGAACTTCAAGTATCTTATCTTCCAGTGAATTTTGTGTTCATGTTAACTATAGTGAGGATGATATGGTAAACTGGCAGAATTTTTATTTTGAAGGCGACATTTGAAAAATATAATCCATATTTTTTAAAGCTCAAAACAAAGAATAAAGCAGAGAAAAGCCAAGGATTTATTTATAGCAGTACCTTTTGACGGTGATTATGTTCCTGGTCAACGAGAATTAATCTGTATTATTGCAATGCACTGGGATATTTTCGAACAGATTCTCAATGGCCAAGTTATAACAAAAAAGGTGCGCTGTTATGCGTTTAAAAAAATTTTTTTTGGAGAAATTAAAAGAATGAAGTGTTTTTAATCCATAGTGTTGTTTATTGCCTTGCGTTGCAATCCCTTTTCGCATTATGAAACGGTCAATCCCCATTTTTTTTGTCTTCGGTAATATAGGTTTGTGTGCGAAACATCCATCCGTTGTTTTTAACAATGAAAATGAAATACCAGATACATCCATTTTATTTTTTTTTGAGAACCACAGATTCAGTATGGAGAATTCTAATTATGGAGTATTTACAGATCATCAGACCTGGGAAAATGATAATTATTGGAGATATAGGTGAGGATGATGTGATAGAGTCCATAAATCACTTGGCCAAGTCGATGAAAGCAAAACTTTAGGGTTTCGTGCTTTTTATATGCATATTAATTAAATATTTTGGGATACTGAAATGAATTGTAGAATTTCTTGATTTTTTTGTGTTTTGTTTACCTTTCTTCGTTTGTTTTTAGCATGAATTTTTATGTTTTCACCTATTTTCGTTTTTTAGGCTTTATGTTAGAAAACATCATAGCAATTTTTAAACGAGATCATAAACATGAGCTGTGCCTTCCATCTAAAGTGACATTCATGAAAATCCTTCGCATTGGACAGCTTGTCTATCTGCATTTTTTGCATCTTGTCTTCTGATGTGAATAAAAGAGTATTTAATAAGTTGCCTTTATTCCGATCGTGAATTTGCGATGGAAATATATTCATTCCATGGAAATACGAACTTCAAAATATTCAAAATACATTTTACTTATAATAAAGATTTTAGATTAGAAAGATGGGAATTCCATCTGGAATTATCGAAATGAGTGTTTTCTTTTTTAATAACGAAGGAAATTATATTTTAATTTCTGTTTGAAATAGCAAGTTATTAAGTAGTTACATGGTCAGTTTGACATTATTCTTTCGTCAAGGAAGTTTCGCATTTGCTTACTGCTCTTTTACAGATATTTCTGTAAATAACCATCTCATTATATTTAACGAATAAAATGATCTGACAGCCTACATTTAATACTTTCTAGAGAGTTTGGGTCCGTAGTGTTAACAAAAAGATTTTCGGAATACTAATTACTGATCAGTCTATTATCCGTCATAAACTGTAGTTCATCCGATGCAATGCTCATTAGTGTTTGTAACGGTCTTATGTTCTATATCACCTTTCAGGATCCGTTTGGATATTTTCCTATCGGGTGTTTTCTTTTCATTCTCGATCAGAATTTGTGTTTTGTAATAATTTTAAGTGGGAAGTGTTGTAGAAATGGAGACGGTGCACAAAAAATTGTTAGCTGAATGGAATAAGGAGCCTAAGGTCTTGACTGCAGTTAATAGTGCACTAAAACAAGTTAAGGTAATCACTGTCGAACTAATTATTATTATTATTATTGGTCATTGTTACTAAGTTTTACAAATATTCTAATTATTTTCAATAGGGAACTAGAAACGATGAAGATAAGTTGTGATTGAATATGCTAGGTGCTTCCAAATTATCATCTAGGGGCTGCTAATACTAAAAGCAATGATTGCCATAAAATTAATTGGTTGGTGATCTTATGAAATCTTACTGCACTTTTCAGAATGTTCTATTGTGTTGGGAAGTATTTCAAAAAAAGCTTCTGGAATAACTTAATTTCCTTTGTATTTCAGAAAATGATGGAGAATCCAGAAACACTGAGAGACTTAAGCAATGCTGCGCTACATATTATACATCGTAAGCTCTTTTTTTTTCATGGCTGAATCATTCAAATGAATTTATTTACAAGCACAGAAATTCTCTTTTGTAGGAGATGTTTATGAAATTGATGCCCTCTATGCGGTGCTTCAATCGGATCTCAAAGCTTTTCATGAAGCGATCAGTGTTGTGATGAATTTTTACGATTGTTACAGGTCACTTTTATTTGAAAATATGAATAAATACTAAGTCTTAGGTTTATATTCTTATCTGTATCATTTAAAAGCTGGTGAGTTTATTTTTGTAGTTAAAATTTTCTTTTTTAGGTCAAATGAAGAGTCACCAAATAAGTTCCTAATGATTGGTTTGAATTTGATGTACTTTTTAACTACCAATCAACATGCACAATTCCATATGGTACGTTAAATTTACTTACAGTCAGGTATTTTTTTTTTCTCCAATTCATCGTGCACATGAGTAACCATTTAGTATTTTTTGTCTGGTTCATTACTTCGTGTGGTTTATTATACATACTGAGATTGGAATTATGTTTCACGTTTCTCACATTATTTTGTTTTTGTCTTAACATAATCTTTCTCACGTTATTTTTCGTTTTTGTCTTAACATCTATTATGTACTTAATAAATCTCGCAATTCATTCAATGAAATATATCAAAAAATGATACATTTTCTCATTCATTTTTGTTACAGTTGTTGGAACAGATCGACCAAAATGTTCAACAGAACAATCCATACATCACAACACCGGTAAAATTGGAACAGTCACTCATGGAGGGTGTTTATAATAAGGTATTTTAATCATGACAGTGTCATACTCATGTGGTATTGTTATTTTTATGAGAAGGTTTTGTTATATTATTGTGTGTTAATAGGTTGTAATTATATATGTTCAGTACTGAATGCCCAAATGAGTATTATTGTTGTCGCCTAGTGTTTTATAAAGCGTGATTTTTATTGCAGGTTGTTCTTACAGAGAAAAACATCCCCAGTCCGTATTATGCTCTTTTTATCCGTATATCTATGGATACAGTACGGTCTGCTATTTCTCTTTTTTAACATATATTTTAACGCTGATATGAAAAGCAAAGCTCATTACAAATTGCAGCAGTGGAATGCGAAGAACTTTCATTTGTGGATATTTGCAGAGATGAGATAGCTTCATGCATCGAATGTTCCTTCAAAAAAGTTTCACAGAAAGATGCTGCGCAGTTGCTTCTTTTCAACAATGTCAGTGAACTCATTCCCTTTGCAAAGAAGGTATTAAATATGATTTGGATTTGCTTCAATTATATAATATGTTTTTTTATATCTTTAGTTGTTTTATTTCTCATACTTTATTGCAAAAATGAGATAACTCGAACAACTGGCAGAATGGTTTTGATGAACTGGTGTTATGAGATTTTTTGTATACCAAACTGTTATGTCCAAATGCCATCAAGATATTGAATAGAGATGTTGCTCAAAAAAAACGAAGAGGTTAAAAGCTAAAAGGCAGTTGGACCAGAGAAAAGACATTTCGTTTCGAAATGTTTTTGAAATAAAGTCCAAATTTAAAATAATTGTTGCAGCGCTCGTGGAAAAGTTTGGACAACACGTATATTTTCGAACAGGGATTGTCTGGGGTAAATTCTCTTTCTGCTGTGAAATAAATGAAAATCAAATTTATCGAAATCGGTTTATACTATAGACCTTAATAAGTTACGAAGAATACCAACAGCTAATTCAGTTGAAATCATTTCAAAAAAGTAGTTTCAGCCGCTTCCTAAAGAACAGCTGGATACCAAAAGAATTGCAAAACAAACAATATTTTACGCGAAGCAACTTGAAATGATCGTGTAAATGGGAGAGAAGTGAGAATGAGTGATATTTCTTTGCATAAAATTTGTTTGTTGCTGTTAACCAAAAAATTAGCTTGCTTTCGTCATTCGATTCATGTCACCAGGGCTACGAAAGTTTTTTGATTTAAGTTAACTCAAGTGGTATACTACACGTAGTTAATGACTTTGATGCAAAAAATTATATGTTTAAAACATTATGCCACTGCTTCTACATTACTATGTTTTCAGTATCTTGCATTAGTGACCATTATATGGCACTATCTTTTCGGCTTTTACGAAACAAATATTTGCTTTGGTGACTCTATGCTGCTTAAATATTGTTAGAATGTTGAAGAAATTTTAAGCAAAGAAAACTGTTCCCAAATAGTGGAATATTTGGGCAACTCAGACCAATACCACATCTTTACATTGATTTCATGGATTGATTTAGTTTGCATTTCAAAAATGCGATGATACATGTAGCAGTATAGCTAAAAATTCTGATAGGCTCGTAATCTATTCTATTTTTTTTTTTCCTTTCTAGATAAGCCGTGAAGGGAGGGCATTTGCGGGATTCCAGATGGCAAGTTTGGAAGATGATGAGTGGGAAATCTTGACATTATTGTTTGTGAAACTTAGAGATAAAGAACATGTCTGACTACGGGTGCTACGAGTGATGATTAAGGCTTCGTAAATGTTTAGCGGTTTTCTGAATGTTGATATGCGGTGGATCGGAATGATAGATCCAGAAGCTCTGATAGTCCAGAGGTCATGAAGTTTCTCTTGAAGTAAGCTATAAATAGACTGATGGCTAATTGTTTATCATTTTTTAAACTTGATAAAACAGCCGTTGGTGTGCTCCGAGAGGAGCAGTCACTTGTAGTGTTCGTCCGCCGTAAACGTCCTAGAACTGCAGAGGACGGAATAGTTTGAAAATAATTCAGAAACAATGTCTATGAGGCGAAAGAAGTTTGGTTTGTATAAATATGTTTGTACAAATAAAATATACAAATGAAGTTTGGTACGGTCTGTTATTTTATTTAAAATTTTTGTTTTATTTTTTTCAAGAATAACGAAATGAGCCAAATTTTATTTTCAAAACCCCTGTTACATATGCAAACTGTTGTGAATGAGGTGAAATATTTTAGATTAGCAAAGTAAAAGTTTAGGAGAAGATTGGGATGATATAGACATCGATGAGGAGGACGAAGGACAAGTTGAGGAACACTTAGTAGAGGAACGGTCACGACTTAAACTAGTAAGTTCATAAAAGCATAAAAATAACATGTCATTTCAAGGAACGCTTTTATTAGGTTTTTTAAAATGCTTAGGGCTGAATCATTTAATCATTTAGGTGCTGAAAGAGCTAATGAACCCATGTGACGTTTAAGGGATCGAACACTTCGTCCGCTTTGTTGATGAATCGTAGACAGTTCTATCTAATAATATGTTATGGTTATTCTGAACATATCGAAGCCTGTAACATGAATTTTTGTCTTTTTCTTTTTGTAAAAAGGAGATGGAAAGGAGAGAACAAGAAAAAAGAAAAAGAGAAAAGGAGAAAGAAAAACAACGCAAATCACCCGCAAAAAGACCGAAACTGCCAATTGGTGTCATTATCAATACTGACAAGAGCAGGTTTCCTATCCTACCTGAGCTTTCAGTTAATGAAATCATATGACTTATGTAAGATATTCTTTCCTTAATTTCATCTTCTGAAATACTAGGTTAAGTTCCTCCATAGTTTTCGGGACTCCGTCTTTGCAGCATTTCCAGTTCATCCTTACGCTTATTAGTAAGGAAAGAATATATCTGTGCTGTTCTTTTGGTAGTGCTATCATTCAGAAATTGTGGAAAAGCTTGTGGAAAGCTTGGGTTTTTTTCTTTCAAACGATGATGCAATTATTCTGATAGTCCCATTTTAGGTATGAGGTTCTTGAATTATTGGGAGCTGGTGGTTTTGGGGACGTTTACAAAGTGCGACAAGTTGATGAGGCTGGAAGAGGTGATGATATATTTGCTCTGAAAACTGAAACGAATACCTCTGGGAAGATACTCAATCGATTAAAAGTAAATTTTTCAGTTATTACCAGGAAAAGTATCTGTGATAATTGTAAAGCAATACTCACTGGTTTATTTACTACTAAAATATCACTAACTATTCATAATCAAAGGAAAGCTTCTTTCAGTGCTAATTTCTTTACCAAATCTTTTCATGTTTTACTTCCTAACCATTTATTACTCATTAAACTTTTTGAATAAGTGTTTTTCGTATTAGAATTTGACCCCTCAAATTTACGATAACTTTTCTTTCTGATTTCCAAAAAGTAATCCAAATTAACCAGCGGAAAATGAAAACATTTTTTTTTATTTTGCAAACAGATGGAAATGACTATTTTGCAAGAATCTGAAAGTCTGCCGGAAGAGAAACGAAAACATTTTATCAAAATGATTGATAGAGGTAAGGTTCATTATCCATGTTGTCATTGATCTGAATCACTAAAATGTCTAAAATTATTTGCTAGTATTAGGTATATTAGAAGAAATTCACAAAGCAATACAACCACGCTCTTAATATTTCTTATAAAGAAATACTTAGCATATCGATAAAAGTAATAGTAGAAGATTATAATGAAATAGACTTTATTTATTCATTCACTAAATTCATTGTTTTTTGTTTTGCTCAGGACGAACGGAATCATTTAAATTTATTGTGATGCAGTTAGTGGGTACCAGCGTTGATAAACTTCAAAAGCAACAACCTAAAAAACACTTCACGTTTGTCCTTTCTCTTCTCACCAGTATTAGGTATATTAAGAGAAAGCTTTAGAAAGTTGGAATTTCTGAAGCATCTTAACCTACTACAAATACATATAAATTTTTCACTATAGTTACTTTCGTTCTCCTCTCCATTCATCCCAAAACTGTTTGCAACCCATTTCTCTCCCAATCACTTCCAGATTTACAAATGGATCCAATCATAAATATGATTGAATAGTGTGATAAAATATTTAGACTCTCGACCACCATAAAATTAAGTCTTCAAACTTTGGAAGGAATAAAAGATTTGCATGATCTTGGCTATCTGCATCGAGATATTAAACCACAAAACTTCTCGATTGGTCTAAGAGAAAAAGCTAATATTATCTATGTGCTTGATTTTGGCATTTCACGTCGATATATTGAGAAACATAGCAAAGCGATCAGGTTAGATTAGATCGACCCAACATTATTAACAAGTTAAATTAAATCAATTCAATATCATTAATAAACAAGATGTATAATAAGTTTGGTAGCAACTATTTTAAATATTTTTGAAGAGTGAAGTAATGTTAATCTCCATCGAGAGATGAGAATGGTACTCAATATTTTGAGGTTACCTCGGAAAATGGTGCGCTTCCTTGGCACAATACGATTTGCATCACGCAATTGCCATTATTCACGTGAACAATGTCGAAGAGATGACCTAGAATCATGGGTATATATGTTAATCGAGTTTACGGAATATGCATCACTCCCTTGGTCGAAGATCATTGATCGTGATCTTGTTTGTAAGGAGAAGGAGCGACTCTTTGCTGGCACATGTTTGTTTATTTACTTCTTGTGAATCAAACATTTCAAACTTCAAAATTTGTAAATTGAGCAAACTGTTATTGCTACCAAAGAAAACTGATACATTTTTGTGACGAGGAGAATGCTGAACAGACCTATATCTAAAATATTGGGTCAACTAAATGTTTGAAGAATCGGCTCACAATTGTTTCTAATCCTCGATTCTCAGTCCTCGTTCTTGCCAGAATAAATCTTTGATTTTTTGTTGCTGATATTTAAGATACGAAACATATAGCAAGCTTGCCGGAGGAAATACACAAAATTTTAAAATATATCAACGAACTGAATTTTCAAAATACACCAGACTATGAATACATAATGATGATGCTGAAGCGAGCAGCGGCACGAAAACATGCCAGCATTACCGCGAAATTCGATTGGGAAGAGTCCGAGGTATCTCATAATTCAATTTCTTTACATGGGATTATGTTAAATACTGAACGGCTTAAGGGAAAGTAGAACAGTCGGATTTTCATAAGGAAAGATTACATATTAATGGTACATCACACTGAATAATTAGACCGTTCTTATGCTAAGAAAAGACGCTTAGCTATTCGTAAAATTATTTTGAATTGGTGTATGGATGCTGTCGATAGCAAGCGAGAGCATTGCATTGAGATTTCGTGATATACTAACAGTGGTCTGAACGACTATCGAAATTGTTCATGGTGAAATGTCCGATAAAAGACTTTTATTTTACAAAGACTTATTCGTGAGGCAGCATACTTGCAATGGAAAGAATTTGAAATTAAGTAAAAGTGATTTAGGCGTTATAATTAATTTAATACGTCAACATATCTAAAAAAATTTCCGAAACAATCGAAAAAATGCTTAATAAAATATGAAACTGTAGAGCGAAACGCATGCTGCTAAGCAAATGATTAGCTGTGATGACAAGTATAAACCTCGAAACGAGAAATCGGAAGGCCGTAAGCCAACCAAAATAAGGCCAATTAATGTTATTATAAACAAGGTATTTAAATTTTAAATTCAAATTTCGGTTTGGTTTGCAACATAAAATTTATCTCAAGCTATGTAATGAATTTTTGCTTGAAAAATTCCTGACATTGCCGCTTATTTTCACTGATGAAAATATTATGAAAAAGCATGGTTTGAGTTGTGTTTTCAATCTGTTGACTTGATGTATCTGCCATTTAACTGTGACGGCTTCAAAACCTTCTTTCAGGTCAACCATCTCGAAGAACAAGAACAATAGATGTAGAAGAAAATGCGTACATACATTTTATTTTGCATTATGTTATTATAAACAAATCCACAAAATCTGCATGAACATACGTGACAGAAAAGTAGGTATCTAAAACAAAGCTTTTTAAATGATGTCTGGCTTTAGTAAATTATAAGAAAGCTTCATCCGTCTTTGAACAAAACTGATGCGTAACCTTTCAAGTCACTGAAGTATTTCATACGGTCGACCAGTATCATGATCACTAGAAGTATGACTAGTCGTAATTCTCGTCATCGCGTGATTTAAATTTGTTAGCCAACCAGCTGACTTTATTCACAACCTGGAATTCACAGTGAATTGACTGTAAGGGTAACTTACAACTTTATTTTCAATCCCCCCACTTATTCAACTTCTCTAAAGCTAGTTATGATTTTATGAATTAAAATGACCTCTTCTTGTGCTAGGTTAAAACACATCGCTAGTAAAGCCATCCCAAATAGAAGATAAACTGAAGTTATCACAAGCTTCTTTTGTGCATCCTTATCGTTTCCCACTGATGCACCAGGAAATTTGTCACCAAATCCTGAAAATGAGATAAAGAGCAAAATTTTGGTATAATCACTGGAAGCATAAAGAAACATTTTAAATGTAATCTGTGAGCAATCTGAAGGATCCTAAAGAATGTTTTGAAAGTTTTTCCATGAAACATAAGAAATTTTTTTAAATTAACTTCAGAAGGTTCATATTTTCCTGCAAACGTTGAAGAAACTTTAATAAAATATTTTTCTTACCAATATAAAAATTAATTTCTGATTACTCTACAAAAAATCTAACAAACAAGATTAGGAGAATTCAATGAGAGGTTTCAAATTTTCAAATGATTTAAAAAAGATAAAAAACCAATGGTAGTCAAAGAAATGTAACAAAAGTAGAAACTGTCGAGGAATGTCCATCCTTCCCAGAGACAGAATAATACCGAACCAGCCACCAGATAAGCAAACATTGTAAAGAATACCAAACTTAGTGGGACCGATATACGTTGTAGTTGTGCTTCCACACTCTCCTTCACCTTAACTTTTTATTTATTTCATCATTTCATATCTACTTATTATCTGTATCTGATTTACCCAAGGAAACTCCTTAAATAATTTCCTAAGTTGATTTCTAAATTAAGCATTCACTTTCCAGCCGATTCTGAAGTTACAAACAATATCCCTTCTCAATATTGGCTTCTCAGTCGTATTTTAGCAGTTCATAACTAGGAAAAAAAAAAAACAATAAAGTGATTACTTCAAGTTGTTCAATTTGTGCACGAGCTGTCAGCAAATCTTGTACATCGGAACTAAGCCGAAACGAATCTCCTGACAAGTCTGTATTTACATCCTACAACATCATACAGGAAATACGTCTTATAAATTTATGGATTCAGTGATTTAAAGAATTTTTTGTTTCAATTTTTGAACCAACTTACTCTAGTCAGTCGAGAAACAAGAGAGTTAGCACGGCGCAATTCTGCAGCTTTACGCCGTTTGTGCCACAAAATAAGGCGATATTTGAGTCGTATTGAACGTGCGTAGAAAAACCGAAAAATTTTTGCCATAACATCGCCGATATTCGTTAAGAAAAGTAACATTATAGGTATTCCTGAAGAGAAAATGCAAACACACTTCAATGAAAATTAGGGAAGCAATAAGAAAGAAGATAATGACAATTTACCGATAATTGCGAACAAAATAGTTAATGTTTTGCCGAAATACGTTTTAGCAGATGTATTACCATAGCCAATAGTTGTTATAACTGTTAAAGAGTAAAGGAAGGCTCCGGTGAATGTCCATTGAGCTGATAAACCATATTCCTAAAATACTTCTAATTCATTAGCTTAAAGTTATTTTCTGAAATTTTAGAACAAGTCCAAGTGCACATTTATTTTACTTTTAAATCATAAAACTCGAGTTAAAATAAATTAATGCCAAGAAGATGTCAAAAAATTCTAGTGCTGGAATTTACCAACCTTTCCGTCATAACCACGTTTGATTGCCCACATACACTTACGTTGAAATCGTCGCACTTGAGCATGAACTGTACGTTCCCATTGTGCACGATCCAATTTGTTGACCCTAAGTTGGTATTTCCTTGAATTCCAAATTCAACGACAGAAAAGTTTCAATACTTGGTGCAGTGATTTTGAAAAATCCACAGAAGTCGATTAATCGCTGCTTTAGATGAAATCATCAACGACATTCCTTTGATCAGACCACTGTCATCGGTATCTATAAGATACTTCCGTGGCTCTACTGTTAGCATTATGTCCTGCTGGGTTGGATGCAATGATAAATACCTAAAAGTAGCGTTCCAGGCGATATTGACAGCTTTTTGCCTTGCCGTTGTCACCTGGCCCTGTATGAACGTCTCATGCGGTCCTTCTACTGCTCGAAACACAACTGCGCCAAGTAACGCGTACCCAATAACCTAAATTGTAGCGCGATCATACTGTAATTAGGACTGCATTTAAGATCAGCAGCAGCGCCAAATTTAATCAAGATTTATACGCTGGATGACCTTCACTGGATTCTCGACATTAAATCATTTTCTTCCTTCGTTTATAACAAACATAAAAATATATTGTAGAATACTTCCATACTAACCAGTGCGCATAATCCAACATGAGAAAAAAAGAATGCGATGATTCGTTTGATAAGGTTAATCACTCGAGTGACCTTTGATCTTCGATGATTTCTTCGTGCCATGGTTAGTGGGATTAATAAAAGCAACAATTTTCCATCACAATCTGCTAATTAACTGGGCTGAAATGAGAGAAGCTGTCTGATTACTAGGCCGGAAGAAGATGAAAGAGAAGAAATCCTCCTCCATTTATCAGCGAAAGTGGCCTATACGCTTGCAGATGAGATAGAATATATTTCGTATATATATATATAATATATTTCGCCTTGATTGGGCCCTTCCTTTTCTTTTAAACCTACGAAAAAGCTATCTCTCTACCACTACGGCCAACAACAACATAAATAAACAGCATCACTGAAATCTAACAATGCAACGACACACACACACACACACATATATATATATATATATACATCGATATATACATACACATGCAATGACATACATTCTCATTTGAATTAGCAAACTCGAGAATCTGAATTCTCTGGGGACTAACATAGGATAAAGGTTATCAGAATGCTTCTCGCTTTTCTAATATGAATTTGTGCTGGCATAAACAATGCATCTGTTTAGCAGAGATATTGCCATTTGAAATTTTAGCTTTGCTATATCAAAGTGTGCCAAGAAAGCTTTCTTGTGTAAAGAGGATAGTACAAGCAAATAAGCCTGAGCAGGAAGATGAGATATATTCTTTTATAGATGACAAATGAACGGATAATCGATGTTCCTCTCTTTTCCTTCTCTCTCCACCATCATTTAAAAAACAAGGAAGAATTGTAGTGATGAAGGGCTAACTAACTAAGTCATTTCTATACAAATATTTCAAATCGTAAATTTCAACGTATTTATACGAAATAAATTTTCTGCGTAACTTTTGTTTTCAATCAGAAAAGCTGATTGAAAACAAAAATTCGATTTCAAATTTTTAAATAAATTTGATTCCAATATTCTTTAAAAATAAACTATCCTGCTTTTCTATCTGAAGATTTTTTTAGGAAGATTTGAAGCCAAGAAAGGGTGACGAAGAGTGAACCATTGCAAACTAATGAATGAATTAGAGACTAGTTTTCACACCCTTGTTTTTTAGCCCATTTTATTAATCAGTCAGTTAACCAATCGATGAGATATTATTTTAGCATCAAAATCACACACCCAAAAAGCGAAAATCATTCTACAGCAGGGGAATGTTTACATGATTATTGACAGATGGTGTGCCGCATGATGAAAAATATTCTCGAGTGCCACAAAATATCCGAACCAAAATGTTAGTGAGATGAAAACTTTATTGCGGTTCGTTTTCCCAATCAAAGTTTTTTCCAAATTGCAACTTTCTTTATACTTCCCTTTTGAAGTTTATTTTTCGAAAATTTTAACATTTATTTTTCTTTTTCGAAAACACAAAAATTTCGATGAGTTTCAATTATTGTTGCTTTGTATTTAAGGATTTTATAAATTTATTTGCTGCTGAAGTTAAGTAGAAGTTTCAAGACAACTGAATTCCAACTCACTACACATCGTTTTAGCAATATCAAGGCAATTCCAGTGTGGAGCACCGAAAAGAAGTATCAGTCTTGCTGCACCTTTACAAAATTATTAACTGAAGAAATCTATTCTAGAGAAATTAAAAATTTGGTAAAGTTTAGCACTAAATACTTTTAGGGAAGAGAATTTCAGCTACGATAGATAATTGAATAAATACATTATACTGCACAAAACTCACTTTTTAATTGAAAAAAGATAAAAATGACTTCGTACTTAATAAATAATTAAATATTAAAATTAGTACCGCAATCTGGAATAATAGTTTAATCTCTCAAGTTATTTTCTTCTTTTTGAGAATCAAATACTGTCTTAATTCTAAAGTTAAGACAATATCTAATTTTAAGTATTTTTTTTTTCAAGTAAAAATGGCAACTGGGCCAAGAATGTGTCTTGCTGAACCGGTTCGCGAAGCAAAATCTAGTAAGGCAAGATGGATAGTTAAATTTCAAAGCTAGTTCTTCGCGTCATTCTACTAAGCGGAGTTTACAAATTAGCTTAGATAGATTTTAAGTTGTTTATTTAATGAATGTATTTCGATTGGAAGAATCGTAGTACGGCTAAAATTTCTCAGCTAAAAACCGCTCGGTAAACAAAATCATTTCCATCTATTCGACTGAGCATAATTTGCACATAGATAAAGCACTGCGACACTTACAATTTTTTCTTTTTGATCGGTTAGTTATCCATTCCCTCCACCACCACTTTTAAGTAAATTTGAATTCTATACGGTTCAAGTCTACATTATCAGTTGAAATTATTTTTTAATTTTTATAATTTGATTTAAATGGTTACTTTATTTAAAGCTTCAGCCAAAAAATTCTGTAGGAGGAAACTTCTCCGATCTCTTTTCCTCTTCAGCTTAATGTTTAACTCCTTTGCAGCTAGGAAATTTAAAAAAAAAAAAAAAAAAACATGCCACAGTTTATTTCTGAGCACAGTTTCAGAATATGGCAAGAATCATCTGCTTGTTTCCTTTTTTGTTCTATATTTCAATGACCTCAGCCATGACAGCTTTACCAGGACAAATCCCATACTGGGCTGGAGGTGCTGCAATTGGTTCATCGCTCGGAAACAGATTACTTGGAACTGATCAACAGCTAAGTAACTTCGGACTTCTTAGTTCAGGTGGTCTTAGTGGTTTTGGTTTGGAGAGTTTAGGTCTCGGTGGTTTACAGAATCTTGGTAGCTTTCAAAGTCTCGCTAGTTTGCAAGGTCTCGGTGGCTTACAAGGCTTACAAGTAATTCAAATACCACTTGACAATACTGTCAACAACAATATGTCGCCCTGTACAGCGTGCATAATTTGTTCACCGCAAAGTGCGTCAACAAGTATGTTTGTTTTCGAAACTATTCAAATATAGAGAAACATTATTTTAATTGGAAAAATATTTCTATGCTTGGCTCTATTTGCAGATTGTATACCCGTACCGAAACTAGCACCAATCAGTGGCCAGTTTTGCTGCTGCTGCATATCAGTAACTGGATCGGCAATTGGGACCTTTAATAGAAAGAAGTAACTTGCAGAGCAAATACCTCAGAAAGAGCTGATAAAGATGTCAAAGCTTTTGACTGTACATATCTGTTTGACATTCTTTCATTAATTTTGATAACTCATAAATAAAAAGGCCCATTGAATATCAACATTTAACTTATTCGAAGAACCAAAAAATGACAAAGGGATGGTTCGCTTTAAGAGAGTTGATATGCTAATATTCCAAAAAAAATTTTTCCGAATTTTCCAAAAACTGGATTAAGAAAATTCGAGATAGTCTTCGCCATTTACGATATTGCAATATCAGTATCATATTTGTAAACAACAAAATAAAGTTTCTTCGAGGAAAATCTCAGCAGGAACTGTTAGTTACAAAATAACGTCCTTCATTCATGTCCCCGGAACTGCAATTGCATCTTTTCCTTCAGTTAATATTACATCGCATTAAAATTCATTAATTATCGTCGACTTTGTTCTGATTAAAAATAGGCTTAGTGATTAAATTTATGTTGTGCCGAATCCTAAGAATTTAAAAGAAGCAAATTACTTTAACTAAAATCTTGGACCTAAAAGTCCAAGACGGCATACTATCTTATTACTTAATTAACCTGAATAATTACCTGAAAAGGAACAATAATGAAGTGGGAACAGTTAAGGATATAATTACATAATAATTTACTTTCCAAAAGGTATGTTCAGAACCAACCTATTGAAATAAGTGTTTCCTCTTTAGCAAAGCAAAATAGACTGTAGATGAAAAGCATTACGATATTTTTGATAAATCTCAAAACGCTTTTAGGACCGAAAATTTGAAGTTTTAACGTCTATTGCAATAAATAGTTTGAAAAAAACATGATTTAAGAATTACTCAAACAAGTACATTCCAATGATAGTTAGTCGTTGAGCTATGTATAAGATCTAAACAAACCTGCTACTCAATAAGAAAGTGCAAAAGTTCACTTTTTGTTATTTTTCTATAATCGCTACAAGGAAATGTATACCAATGGGATGCAAAGCACGCTTTGCTAATCGAACTTGATTTAGAAGTTCTCTGTTGATAATCAGTTTAACGGGTTTATTTTTGGCTAAATAGTGTTGACGTTGGAAATGAAATTCTGCAATTAGCGTTGATACGGTAGCTGCGAACGCGATGGTTGTTAGAGCTCCCATGCAAAGATATACCTGAACTATTTTACTCAAACTGTAAAACAAAATTAGAAAAATTGTCGAAATAAAAAAAAGTTGTTGACAGTATATATATATATATATCATGAGTCCACGTAGATATCATTACAACTACTAAAGTTGAATTTAAATGAGTATATCAATGTAAAAAGCAATATTTAATATTTACTATAATTTTTCAAAAATTTGAGATAAACCACCTGGAAATTCGAAAAAGTCAATATTACCTCTCATCAATTTTTTCAAATTCATAAAATTCATTTCTTGAAACAGAAATGTAAACGATGATTATACAAGGAATGACGAACCAATAACTCACCCACTTTAAATAATAACGCAGGTCTCGATAGAAGCCTGTAAAAACTTCTTTAAATTTTATCAAGAAGAAAAAGCTTCGGACAATTACCAAATAAATTCGTGAGCAATTCAGAGACCTTTTTCCTTGTATCTCTTCACTTCTGTTATTGCTCTTATAAATCTATGATTGATCTGTTCTGCGAAAAATTGATTTGCTGTGACACTTTCTCTTTTATCTTCCCAAATTACAGCTTCATTTGCTATAAAAATCGAACAGATATGCATTAGTTGACATATCTGCAGAAATAACAGAGAAACGAATTAAAATTGCCTGAATCGGAAGATACTGTATTGTACAGTGCTTGAATATAATCAACACTTCTGCATAGATCTTTGTCAAAAACTTCCAAAACTGATATCTTGTCGTATTCTATAAATAATTACTAACCTTGTTCTGCTTATTTTTTTCAACATCGAGTTCGCTCAAAATATGGAGGTAACGGACGCTGTATAAAAACTACGTAATCCGAGACACAGCAACTCCAAATTAAAGGAATAAATACTACCATTACTTCATTAGTGAACTTGTTAACAAATTTCAAGCAGTACTGTTGATAATGATCATAAGAGGATAACCAAATTTAGCTTGCTGGATAATTTCAATATTCGATTGGCAGCCTAGCTGCAATTTAATGTGCCTTCTTCTAAGAGAAAATATAATTTGTTCAAATGTGCACGGAGGATTAGTCCTATAGATCAAACCTACAAATAAAATAAGTTGATAGACACACATTCTGAAAACTGGATCTCTGTTCATACTAGTTTTATTTCGGGTCTAATCATCTCATTTGTTATCGATCTTACTTTGCAAAGCATTCTTTATTTGAAATAAATAGTAACAAAGCGAACACTGATGTCGAATTTTGATGGTGCACCACTTGTGGAACAATTCGACTGCAATTAGTTTCTTTCGAAATCGGTCGCGAATATACAATAAAGGCCTTAAAATTTTCATATCATTCAACCAATGCATGTCGCAAATGACTTTCAGAAGCAGACCTTGTTAATAGTGACTACTAGGCAGAAGAAGAGAAAAAACAGCCAAGATATTTACCAATGCTTTGAAATACAATAAGATTGATTATGACATGAAAAAGGAGGAAATCCCACTTGCTACATTGTTGTAAGTATGAGCTGGATGTTGAGTTGTATTTGAAGATGACAACATGAACTTGATCTGGTTCTTCTTGTTGTAATAACTTGCTGATTGTTTTATTCATTATTACTATCTAAATTGTGAATATTTTTTGCAGACCGGTAGTTTTCAAGCAAAGTTAAGTTATGCGTTATCTTTTCTCAAGTAATATGTTAAACAACTCTGATAACCGTAACGACACAATTATATTGCCCAATTGATTTGGTTCGTACTCTTTTAGCCATAACTAGTTTCGCAAAGAAAGAAATTTGGTTTAGAATTTGCAGCAGAGTAGAGATTCTGCAAGAAAAAAAAATCAGTTGAATAGCCAAATCTGAAACTGAACTTTATCGAAAAGTAATTATCGGCGTTGTCTTCATATTCCATACTAATCTTATTTTTGATTTCATATTTCATGATACTCCAAGCATCATGAAATATGAAATGCTGATAAAGAGAAGAAAGAAGATGGAGAAACTATCACTACAAAACGATGAGCATAAGTAAATTCATATTTTAGATGACCAATAGAAGCAAAACTAAGAGATAAGCATCACCGCATGAACTTTTTACACAACCGCTCGTCCGCTTGAAAAATTGTAAATATTGATTTTACATTAACTTTTGTTTCGTACCGGAATTACTGACACTTAATTCCATCAAAACAAATTATTTCGCTGTTTATGTCATACCCGATAGAGATATTAATGTCATTTCAAATGAAGGTCACTCGACATTGAGCTGACGTGATAGTACCACCCCAAGTAAGTAACAGTAGATTTCATAGCGGGTTACAATGCTTCACAATTACTGAGGAATCTTGCACGGAATGTATTTAAAGTAAGCGGGAAAGGACGCATTTTGAAAATGCGAGAAAGTGAGAAATCCTGGAGAAATGAGGGGTTGGGATTTTAATACTGGATTGTTCTGGAATATAACTTACTCAGTGCATTTCCTCATTCTCTTTGTTTTGGCTCATTTACTCTTCTGTTCCATTTGGATCATTAAACAATAAGCAGCAGTTTAGGATTAGCTAATAACAGATGGATGACTTCGATACGTCATTGCTTCAGCAAACTCTTCCGGAATATTACCGGCGACTTTTTCCATTCGAACCTCTCTGCAAATGGTTAGCATATGGCGAAGGTTAGGAAATTGCTCACATATCATTTTTCTCGAGTATCTGTTTGTTTAAATTAGACTAGAAGTATTGTTTGCGGTGAAGGAAGACACTGTTAAATATTAGTTGCTGGACCTGTAATTTTTGCAGATTTGCAAGTGTCATTTCAAATGCGAGAGCTAGCATTTGTTTTCGAAGATGATCGGCATGCGCGATATCGCAGTTTTGAGGATAGTGCGGATTTCGAACGAGAGTTATGCAAAGCAAACCCACAAAAGATCGATATTGGTGCAGTTTACAACTATAAAGTATAGTTGATATCTTTCTCTAAGAAATTAAATTTAACTTTCATATTGTTCTGGTCATCAGGAATGCTCCTTTCGCATGGTTATCATAGGAACCGATACTACAATTAAGTTCTTTGATCAGTGATAATATCTGCAAAAATTCTTTATGACACAAGCTTGGTTTTAGCCGAAAGACCATAAGAAATTTGCCGATTTTCATCCAGTTGAACGCGAACTCATTTTCGATATTGATTTAACTGATTATGATGATATTCGGACATGCTGTTCGTAAGTCTTTACACCCTGAAATAATGAAATTATATAATTCCATAGTCATCATACAATGGGAAGTGATATTGTAATATGTACTTTCGAGGTGTTCGTAAAGAGAAATATGAATATTCAGTCAAGAACTACTATCAACAAATGAGACTCGTCTAGAATAGTTAAATTTCAGTCTTCTGTTTAAAATGTGGAAGTTTCAGAAAAGCAAAAGTATGTAGGAAGTGCTGGAGATGGATATCCATTGCGGTTGGCATTTTGAATTATCTGCTACAAAGTCAGTATTATTTTTGGAACCTTAAATTTATTTGCTGTTCGAAATATTCGTTTTTATGTCTTCAGCAGTTTTTAATATTTTCTAAATTTATTTTTAAGTAATCTGATTTCATATTTGTCCCTTTTATTGAAGGACATTTTGGTTTCAAACACTGCTTATGGGTTTTCTCTGGTCGCCGGGGTATTCATTGCTGGGTTGCTGATGCTGCTGCACGGAAACTTCAGAATGCTGGTCGAATGGCAGTTGTCGAATATTTATCTCTAGTTACTGTAAGTAGTATATACATCAAATTTAAACCAAACAAATATTTTTTTTAAAAAATATCGTTTCCACAACGGCAAGCATAAATAGCTCTCATTTTTTTCTCACTTTGATTAACATTGTAAATTGTAGGGCGGACAAAAAATTTCAAAAGCAGCATCAAAACGAGCGTTTGTTCATCCTATGATAGAAGACGTGTACAGCTACTTGATGCAATGGTCACTTTCAGTGTAATTCCTATGATTCTTGCTATTTTTCCAATTTTTAGAATTGACTTTGTATTTTTGATCATTTCAGTCCAGATGTAGGTGAATTGATGTTAGAACAAGGTTGGATGAGCAATGATGGATTGATGTCTTTATTGGATGGTTGTGTAAACGAAGAAGTTGAAAAAGAAATCAGCGAGATTATAGTTGAAGTGAAAACGTAAATTAATTTTTATGGAATCAAAGCATTATTGCTTTGCATAGTCATATGGTAAAATGAATTCTATATGTTCGGTTTTTACAGCAAATGAATAAGTTAAATATAAAAGATGCATATATGCAATATGTAATTTGTTTCAGTGTTGACTGTTTGAAGAAAAGATGGAATGCTTTACGAATTAAATTTGACAAATATAAACGTGCTGAACTTAAGAAAAATGAAATTGAATTGTGTGAGGTAACTAAATTTTAAACTTCACTGATGATTTAGTGATGTGTCATCAATACTCAATTTCCACCTGTTGTTCGAAGTGCAAATGCGGACAATGTGGAAATTCCATAATGTGTTTCCATCAAACTGCTAAGGAAGGATAGGTTCAAATTCTGCTAATAAGGTGTATTGGTAATATAAGTTAAACTACGTGTTCGTATTTGTAAACCAATCAAAAGAATTACAGGTAGCCAGTCCTCAATCATCTTTTCATTTCCGTGGTTATGTGCTGCAGCATGCATATCCTCGTTTGGATATTCATGTTTCCACAGGAATAAATCATCTGCTCAAAAGTCCGTTTTGTGTACATCCTAAAACTGGACTTATCGCTGTTCCTATTAATCCGAATCAAATATCTAATATGGATATCTCAAAGTTGCCTCGCATAGAGTAAACATTCTCCTTATTTTGATTCCTATATATAATTAAACGTGTAGTTTTCGGATTTCTCTACTTATTTATGAATGATCCAATTTTTAAAATGTTTTAGCACTTTACTGCATGAAATTTTGAAACTGGATCATAATGGTGAAACAAAAGAAGACCGGAGGAATTTCGGTATTGTTTGTTTTTTTTTTTTCTACGCTGTTTTTTTACGAAACTTTGATTTGTAATGATTTGACAATTTAGTGATTTAGTTTAAAATATAGAGAAAAAATATCTCATTTTTCAAGTAAAATATATCTCATTTATATCCATATATCGCTAGAATGTTGTGATTCATTGGAGAAAAGAGGAGATTAAGGCGGAACTAATTAGTAATAAATTAATTTTCGTTATACAATAATTTTGTTCTGGTTATTGAAATAATTAAGTCCCCTAATAAATAAGAAATTTTTTTCAGAAATTAAACATTGTTCATTGCGACCATTTGTCGAGACATTCGAAGAATTTGTAAACAATTTGATTTGTGGGAACAACAGCATTTATAATCAGTAAATCGTCAGTAATTTCGTTGATGCGCACTGGTTAAGAAGTAAATTTTGGGGATTGTTAAATTTCGAAATACTGATATTGTGTTTATGCATATTAGTAAAAAAAACATTTGTAACCTTAACAGTATATCCAAAATTTGGGAGAATAATGGAGATTGCTCACTTAAGATAAAGTAAATCTCTTATTTAATTACGTAAAACTGATCTTGGTTTTTTCCAAGATTTCTTTAATTTTTTTTTTGTCATTCGTATTATGTGTTGAAAATAAAACCACTTGAACATTTTTAAGCACGAAGCAGTTGGCTGGTGCTAGCTTTCTATTAGTATTCTAGAAAATAATTAATTGTCAATAACTGAACTGAAACCGACCAATAACTAATTAAAGAACGTTTGACCTTCAGAGTGAAGGTACATGATCAGATCGGACAAGCAGTTAAAGTTACGGTAATGTCATAAAAAATGATCTCCTAGAATCTGTGTTTTTAGCTTCAGGAACTTTCATTTTGAAATCATAGTCGTTAGAAGAATTTCTGGAATTCGAAGTCTGGAAAATCTATAAAGTTGCAGAGCTTTAATGACTGAGATGATGAATGTTTATCGCAGTGAATGGAAAGTCCTAAATTAACCAGACGAGTTAGGGTTTTGATCAAATAAATGATACGAAGTCGCTGTGACCTTTATTTTCCTTGATCAAGGAATCTCATAAGATTGGCATTAAAAATTTCAGCAATTTTTAGCAACATTATTTGGAACCATTGGTAGAGGTAAGGAAACATTCCATTTCCCATTTTAGTAAAAATATTCGCATTCTTGCGTCTTTTAAAATTTTCAGCAAATATGCAGCACAGGCATCATGTATTCTTTTGAAAAATCATTTAGTTTTTTAAAGTAATTGTAAACAGTCAAATTCCTTCATTCCATTATAATGAACTAACTCTTTTTAGATTATATGTAAGTTATATCTGGGCCGAATTTTTTTTAGATTTATTGTCTTCAATATTATGTCCACTCCTTTTAGGAATTATTTAAATTTGTTGCATAATTTGTCGTTTTGCTTCTTTCTATCAAATTGCTTCATTCTCATATGTAAACCTTTCTAGCATCTCTTGTGAGTAATATTTCAGTGAAATTGGATGAACGGCATATGTAAACAAGAGAAAGTAACATCAATAGCTGGTAATAATGTGATATGGAAAAAGCCAATCGAGAATCTTTCTAGATATGCTATAATAATAGATGACAGCATTAAAGGAAACTTGATCTGTCCTCAGTTTAAATTCATCTTTGTCGTTCAATCTCAAAAGAATTTCGTTTGTCCTATCACTGGCACTCGAAATATAACTCAGAAGAAATAGTTGGAACCTTTGGAATATACCATCTAGAGTTAGTTTTTTCATGCAAATTTCACACTTTTATAAAGACTGAAGAATAACCATAAATAAAAAGGCAGTGAAAGAAGAGAAAAAGAAGGAGGACAATATGCTGTGATGTAACAAAGTATAAGACAATTGGAAGGCAGTAAAAGAAAGAATTTGTCAACCGATATCTTCCTCATTGACTTCTTTTAAGCAAATGGCGTTAAATAATTTGATAACTTTTGTAACTTTTCCGATTTTCTTTGTTTCATTTGTGTAATTCATTACCATGTAATAATACGACCTCGTTCACCATTTCTGGCTCTTTACAACTACTAATAACAGGAAGGATCTATATTTGAACTGTAACATTTTTTAATTAATCTGGAATAATGACCGTTGAAGACAATGGCAGGCCTGAACTTTTATGACTTATAATCTTTCACTTATTTCTATAAGTTTATATCTTTTTCTAATGCCTATTTAAGAGCTCCATTATTTTTCTGAAGAAATCCCAGAAAAGTGCCATATCGTCAAAGGAGATTTGTATTTAATGATAGTGCTATGAAGAGTAGCGTTGAAGAAATGAAACATGACAAATATCTTGTAGTTTTCGCAATATTTTAACCATAGAAATGAATGAATCAAAAAATTGAGCATTTCACAAGATGAACAGCAATTCTCGACAACTAAGGCTCTAAATTATCATATTCGAAAAGAAGTCATAGGGTTTATATCAAACAGACTCCTTTTAAGAAAGAAAGAATGAACAAATTCACCAGAGAAAAACTATCTATTTCATCGATGACATTTCATCCGTTCTCCATTTTTTTTGAATCAAATGTTAAAAAGATTCTTAGTTATCAGATTGCGAAAAAAAGACATTGAATTGAGATTGAAGTTAGATTAAAATCCATTGTTTAACACATCATTGAAATAATAGTCAAAAATCCCTGAAAAAACGAAGATCCAAAATATGACGAAAAGCTACACCAGACACTTCTGCTGCATATTATTTTACTAGGTATTACTTTCAGTTAATCCGTTTTCGAATACTCGAGACAATTTAGCTAGTTATTTAAGAAACTTGGTAGTTACGGTAGCAATTAACTGAATTCATTTGGTTTAATAAAATAATATTTTGTAAATTATTTTGCTATACTTCTATAGTCTTAAGCAGTATCTATTTAAATTTGCAGTATTGAGAAAAGAAATTCTTTCCTTTGGTTTGAAATTATCTGGAACAGCAGTACATTTAAAGACAACGATCTAATAAAAATATAAATTTGGTCTTAAAAAAATTCGAGAAGTGTAAAATGCTGAAATAAAAATTGTAATAAGATGGGAACAGGTGAGATCAAGGATGGTAACGCGATATGCTAAATCGAGAATGGCAAAAGCGACAAGAATGTAAGTCGAGAGTTGAAGTCGACGATGATAATGACTCTGCATTTTGATCTATATATCTGAAAAAGTATGTGACTCAGGTATAACAACTGCTGTTTACTTGAGTACAGATACGCAATTCTTACTAACATTTTGCGCCTAAAATATTAAACAGTAATAGTTAAAACCTACTTTCCATATTGTATCACTATGTGAAATATTTAAATCAGATAAGATCTTACCGAATCCACCGAATATCGGCAGGAATAAATGGTATAACATGTTTCGATATATGAAAATTGTCGATTATAAACGCATCCCGATCATAATTTTTTGTTCGCTTTTGCATCAAATTTGCATATAGTTCAGACACAAGCACCACCTAAGATTTTGTTTTTCAAATTAGAAGTTCGAAGATTTTTTGAGACTGATATTCAAAGTAACTAGAAGAAAAAATATAGAATACTCATACTTCCAATATCATTTTTCCGAGAAATATGCTTGAATTTAATATTGCACTAATTGAATTTAAATTAATAAAAAGAAAATTTTGTGGACTTATAAAGAAGTGTCTCTTTGAACCAAACTACATTACTTCCAAAATTATAGTTAAAAAACAGCAATTTAAGGAAATTAGAACAGTACTTTTCCCCCAACAACGGCTAATGCAGAACGAGCATCCTGTATTTTCCTACCAAAATAATGGATCTTACGAATATATTGTACTCCGACCAAATCAATACACATTGTCGTGATCGCCAAACCTATGAAAAATTACCTAATTGGAATTTTTATTCAAGTCAATACCTAGATAAGATATTAAATATTAAAATTAATTCTTTCAATTCGACTTTGAAAATCTTGTTCTTTTTAATCTTTTCAATCATTCATGCTAACATGAATGATATTTTTATTCATACTCGCGAAGTCAGTTTATAATATATTTAATAATATCAACTAAATAATATTCATGCTTGCAATGAGTTCAAACAAACCTAAAATAATATAAAGTAGAATGAGGTACATATAACCATCTCGTCGTGGCATCAAATCACCGAAACCAACCTGAAAAGATAAATTTATCATCTCTCTATGGCTTATAAGATGACAGCTGAATACCAACAAATTCTTTTCAAAAACAGTGGTAAAAATGATAATGGTGGGAAAGGGAAAAAGAACTCACGGTGGTCATAGTAATAAATGACCAATAAAATGCAGTGAAAAAACTCCATGGCTCCAAATTAGACATCAATACACCTCCCAAAGATGTGTATGCAACAAGTATCATCAATACCAGCATTGCTGGTATCCTGCAATCTTTACTTAAATATCCTTAGAACGAATGACAATGTAGGAGAAGTAATCAAATAGAAATTCAAAGCAAGAGATCCATCCACAGGCTGTGATGAGAGACTATCTTATATTGAAACAGATCAAAAACAGTCTCACTAAAAAACAGTCTCACTAAATGATATTATGTGCGAATGTTGACTGTTATAAGGTAGATAAGGTAGTCGTCTAGAAAAGTTTGGAACCGATTATACTTGCCTCTGCTCTTCAATAAAATGCATGTCGGTACTTAGACCCTGCCTTTGACATTGCTCACATACTCTTTCCTTGTGACCTTTGCTCCAGTGACGCCTTTCCAATAAGAAATGCTTTAATTTGAGGTAGTTACCATACATCCACACTAGATGCTCACTTAGAAATTTGCCAATGTCTGCTATGGTCACTAATGTCAAAGGTATGCCAAATAGTGAAAAGATAATGCACATCATGCGACCCAAATGTGTCACAGGTACTGGATTACCATATCCTGGAATAGAATTTCCGGGAAATGATTAGTTATTAGATCAATGAATAACTACCTCAGTGAGTAATAGAAGATAAAATAAGTACTATTAATTCTTAAAAACGAAAACAAAAAAAAGTCTCACCAATAGTAGTGACAACAGTAACAGCGAAAAAGATAGCAGTCGAGAAAGACCATATTTCGATAGTATCATTAGCACGAACTTCGGCAGCAGTTAAGAAGAATTTTTCAAAGGCGGTGAAAAGATGATCGCTCATATTATGCATATGCTGTTTGGTCACCTGCGACCATACTTCACGTCGAGTCTCATTGAGCATTGCTAAGGTAAACAACGAATTCACGAACTCTTCCTGACGTTCGTATATCATATCCAGCTAAACACTTTCTACAGATGGTTATGATCCTCTAG